TTTAATTGGTAAATGAAAATAAAACGTATGATACAAAAAAAAGTGGGAAAAGAAAACGAGAGTTGACGGTATAAAAGAAACGAACCGAACGTCAGTCGTTGTGCGAAAATAAAAACGCGACTCGCTCCTGCCGGCTAATTGCGTTCAATTAACTCGGTCAGAAAGGGTCGATTTATTGGTTACCGGGCGGTCGACATGCAATTCTCAGCGTCGCGTCGAAGATAAACATTTCGCGGGCGCATTAGTTCCACGCCGCCCCGTAATTGACGTTTTGTTTATGCGAGAGCCTCGCGCAACCGTCTGTGTGTGTATGTGTCTACGTGTTGTCGTTAATTTGTTAATTGCTAATTGTTATTGTTTATTGCGACACCAGCGAGAACGACTACGTTCTCGCGTGCCCCACGTATTAACTACCGGACGTTACGTATTATTTATTATATTACTATTTTTAGTTTCTAGTCGTTCCAACACTTTTCCACGATTTCCACTTCAATTTCAAAAAATTATTACTAATACTACATTTAATGGAAACGCTTCCCATAGAAACACGTATATTTGGAACAATTCTGCATATACACTACAAAGTACTCAAATCGGTTTAGCTGTAGTATGACCAACACTTTGGCAGCATTGGAAAACTAATATTTTTGTGGCCGATGATTTGAGTACAGTAACCAAGTCTATGAGAAAGTAAAAAACTTTTCGGCCAAACAATATCAAAACAGAAAGTCCAGTGGTGATGGTGGCAGGATAGAGCAGATGAAGATTCAGTAGTTATGTTATAACTTTGAGAGATAAAAGAACTGAATTTGTTATGCTCAAGTGGTTGGTCTATACAAGAGTCGTAGAGTTTCTGCACAAAATTTAAGATGTATAATGTATAATTAAGTCGAGGTCGCTTGCGGCCGAGGCGCTACAACTGATGTCACACCGAATCTAAACTGCACATCAGATATACTTATTGGTAGTCAAGTAATGATATTTTAAGATTTGTCATAAAAGTATGCATAATAAATATATTTATGTTATATAAAAAATGAAATTAATAATACATCCATCACACTTGTTGGTGTAATTATGGTAGATAAGAAATGATATATATCTTAGATTTGAGTTGAAAGGTGCTACTTTACGATAAGCTATAGAAATGATATAGGTTGATAATAAAAATATTTCGAAAAGAATCTTTACAAAACTTACTAAAATATGTGGAAAATCATGAAAGAGAAAACTTCTAAAATTCACCTAGTATATTAATCGGAGTTAAGGAATGAGTTATACCTTAAATTGAAGCTGAATGATGATATTATGTGATAAGCCATAAAAAATTTATTGGTGTATTACAAAAACATTCAAGAATAAAACTAGATAAAAATTGTGCAAAATCATAAAAGTGAAAATTTAAAAAATTCGTCCATATATAGTACATTAATCGGAATTAACGAATGAGTTATAGCTTAAATTGATGCTAAAAGATGATATTGTATGATAAGCCATAAAAATTTTGTGGGTGAACCATAAAAGCAAACAAGAATAATTTTTGAAAAATCTTTATAAATATTTGGTTCATTTAACAAAATGATAACTATAAAAATTCGCTGATGATATACTTATTGTACTTAAGAAATGATATATATCTTAAATTTAAGTTAAATGATAATATTTTCTGATAGGTCATAAAAAATATGAGGGTGGATCATAAATATATTCATAAAAAGGTTTAGAATAAATATCATAAAAATTGCCTCAATAAAAAAAGGAAATTTTTAATAAATTAATGATATATGACTCAAGACAAAAGATTTTATGTTATGATAAACTATTAACATACAACAAAGTAATATAAAAATTGTGTAAAGATTTTAAAATATTATCAATGATATGATGATATCATATGACGAGACATAAAAATTATATGGATGAACATTATGATATTATACCGGGTGATTCAGACCATCCGTATCAGGAATTTTTCTCAAAAACGCGATTACCTGAGAAGTTGCAATAAAAAATATGATAATAAAATCGTATATGAAGAAAGAATCCAATGCAATTTTTATCACGCTGGTAACACCGGAAGTTGGTGGTAATGATATCAACTTAAAAATTTAACTTTAACGTTTAAAAATGTTGCCATCAACAGCCACACACCTTCTTGCTCGCCTCCTTACAGCATTAACTGCACGACGAATTTATTATTATCATATTTTTTATTGCAACTTTTTAGGTAATCGCGTTTTTGAGAAAAATCCCTGGTACGGGTGGTCTGAATCACCCGGTATATATAAATTGAGCTTTATAAAAGTGATAATTTAAAAAAATTCCCTGTAACATACTTATGAAATGATATGTATCTTAAATTAAAGATAAATTATGTTATTTTATTATAATCCAGTATTTCAACTATGTTATAATACGTTAACAAATACATATATTAACACTCTCGTAGCAATATTCAATGATGTATAGATTTTCTAAATGTTTAGGCAAATTCTCAACAATTAATGTAAAAGCTTCCAACAGTGAAATTCGTTACAAACTTACATACAAACTCAAGAATGACCAAATACAAAGACTATAAGCACATAACTTTGGTGAATCTGTTGCAATTTGCAGATCTTAGTGATATGAGTCACACTACCAGATCCAATGAGGATGAAACTAGAGTAACACATATTGGAGATCATGATATAAAATTAAGCTTTATTTCTGACAAAATGATGCTTGATCATTTTTCAAGTTACAATTTAAGCTTTTGCAAAAATTGAAATTTTTATCTAAAACTTAGATAAAAGTGATCGAGTGCCAAAAGGGAAAAGTGAATACTTGGCTACAATGATATGGAAATTTTTATCGTTACAAAACCAATTTCAGAAACACGGTTCTGAGTTTTTTAGCCTAGGAAGATCCAAGAAATATGAATCATATCTGACCAATCCAGATGATATCAAATCAGTTTAAATTTATTATCTTCAATAACCAATATGTAATGATTATCCAACATCAATACCTAATAACATTGCACAATAAATAAACTTGCAGACTTAGTTTGATGCCAGAGTTAATTTTGCAACTTGAAGATTGGTAAATGTAATTCCAACCTTTTCTTGAAAGCCTAAAATATCATATTTTCTAGTTCTAGGTCTAGTGTTAGTTCTAGTTTTACACTAGCAGTATCACTAGAACTAACACAAGACCTAGAACTAGAATCATTCGGGTTTAGTCGTCTTGAGAGACGTGCGGCTAAACCCGAATGTTTCTAGTTCTCGGTCTAGTGTTAGTTCTAATTTGACACTAGCACTATCACTAGAACTAACACAAGACCTAGAACTAGAATCATTCGGATTTAGCCGCACGTCTCTCAAGACGGCTAAACCCGAATGATTCTAGTTCTAGGTCATGTGTTAGTTCTAGTGGCAGTGGTAGGTAGCGCTAGTTAGCATAAGATATTACTATGTTGTATATTTATATAGAACTAAAACTAAAACTAACACTAGACCTAAAACTAGAAAGATTCGGGTTTAGCCGTGCGTCTTCAGACAGATATTTTTAGTTCTAGGTCTAGTGTTAGTTCTAGTTTTACACTAGCACTACCACTAGAACTAACACAAGACCTAGAACTAGAATCATTCGTGTTTAGCCGTCTTGAGAGACGTGCGGCTAAACCCGAATGTTTGCAAAATCTTTGCAAAACCTCTGCTCCTTTCCAAAGGGAACCAAGATGATGAAATCTAGAACTGACCACAGCAACACATACTTCTCCAACCGTGAATCACTACGCATTAACAATATATATATATATTTATATAAATTTGAAAATTTGAAGTCCAGACTTTGATTAGGATGATTTAGGCATTTCCTTGCAGTCTTAATTTTGGTCAGAGTAATTCCAGACATTTTTTTACAGTCAGAAATTGGGATAAAGTAATTCGCCACTTTTTCTTAAAATTTTAAGTTTGGACAGTGTAATTTCAAACTACTTTTTGAGTCTACAACCATGTCATGTATGTAGTGTGATTCCAGACTTCTTCTTAATTTTGAAACTCATACAGTGCATACAGTGTAAACTTTATCACACATTGTCATAAAGTTAAGATAGTGTAATTCCACATTTCTTGTTTGATCATTGTTTTATCTTGCAATTTAGAGTTTTATCTGACGCAATTCCAGACTTATTCTTGGAGCTTATAATTTGGTCAGTTTAATTCTAAGATTCCGACTAAAAGCCCCTTGTCACAAACTCCAACAATTTATTACAAAGGCAAAAATTTCCTGAAAAAAATCGAACAACATCGTGGTAAAATGAGAGAGGGAGCTAAACCCAAAAGGCTGAAAGGATTAGAATGCCAATTTGCAGTTATTGAGAAAGTAAAAAATGCAAGAATTTTGAAACCAACCTGTATAAATTTTGGAATGAAATGTTACAAAAAGATATAGGAAAGTGACAGATAGTAGATACATTAAGACTTGGAAAATGTCAGAATATATACCTATATATTTTATAAATTATATATATATATATTTATATAAAGCAAAGAAGTAGAATGTGTATATTTGAAATATTGGTTGAAGATGTCACCCCCACCCTATCGCCCTCTCTTGACGATTCCATGGCAACAAAGGTGTTTCCATGACAATGGGGGCGGGGCCGTCTATTTTTCGACCTTCGATTCGTGACGTAATAGAACGTCACCGGATGCACTGATTTGAGTATTGTATCAATTACCGAAAAATATCACAGGAAAATATTAAAATTTATATAACGAAGACGTGAAAGTTAACCTGTTCACAGCGAAATTTAATACCTTATTAGATTACCAAATTGGTACCTTGTCGCAAATTGTCGCGTTTCCCCTTAATTATTTAATTATACTTAATAAGTTTCGTGTCGTCAATTAAAAAAAGTGTAAAAAAATTTCGCCCTTTTTCGATTTCGAATCGAAATTGGTACTTTTATAACTTCATTAACAATAAAAATTAATTATTATTAATAAACTAACCTTATCAAGACATTAATTATGATAATTAATAATAATAACCTCCAAGAAATAACACTCCACTAAAACACAGTCTTTTTATAATACTTGTAATATCAAAATCACTTTTTTGCTTTAATCAAAATTCATTAAACAAGTGCGTCGATTGAACGATACAATAAAAACACAATGTTACGTTCGTCTGGTATGTAACGTCCGAAACGCGTTCACGTTGGCAAGCATTTGAGCAGAGGAGCAGCTCCAGGGATGCTGCGTTCGCGCCGCCCTAAAAAAGAGGCGTTCGCGCGCAGCTTTACACGTCACGCCCTCTATCACCCCCACCATAACCCACCCTGTCCAATCGAGTGTGTCCATGGACGATGTGGGACCGGCGTGATTGGACGACGCACGTTCGAATTGTTTATGGCGCGTCAATACTTTCGCGATCGGTCGTGTTCGCCGCGAAACGCCGACCGACGAGTGAAACGTTAGGGGCGCTGTACGTTGACAGGTGGAGACGATCGCGTCTCTTTTTTTTCGGGTGTCACTTGTCAACTGAAGCGAGAAGGTGGGGGTTACGTAACCTAGGTAGTGGAAGTATGTATTATGTTGAGTTGCGTTTTTTTTTGTTTTTCTTGTTGTAGTTGGTTTTGATCAACACATTTCTATGCAGATGATGATGATGGTGTGATGGTTATTTTTTTTGGGTTGGTTGGAAAAGCTGGGAAGGCGGAATGCCATTAAGACACCGTGTCATCTGATACCGCAGCACCTACGAGGGGTCAAAGGGCATGCCACATGCCGTTTCTCTTGGAAGGACTCCGAGATACCAAGCGACGAGCTGCCGGGCTTCACTCATATTTTTTAATAATATGCAGAACCGTACCAAAAATTTTATGTTTTTATCAAAAATACTATTGTTATCGTTTTAGGTGATGCACCCAAAATTTTTTTATTAACAAATAATAAATTTTAAAAAAATTAAGAAGTATTGAAGTTGTTTTAATTGAGGAGATTAAGAAAAATGTTGAATACGTTTCTGTAAAAGTGTCTTAGAACCATTTCCTGGACAGCGTCACCCACTCATCCTTTCTAGAATGAGAGTCTCGGAGATTTATGAAATGTTTACACTCGCATCGGGTCGCGTCCGTCATCTTGCGCGCCTCTTCAGATCGTTATCGCTTAATAAATAATATTTCTGAGACGGTTTTGCTGCTTCCTGCTGCGAATTCGCACCGAATCACGTTCCAAGGGTTTCTAGACTATGAGCAAATACAATTATCGGGTTGGGGTCGGTGTGGCGAGAGTTAATGAGGGTGTAGTTACTCTTGGGCTACTGTGGGAGGCACCGTCCCTAATCATAGGGTCTGCCACAAGATGGCCTTAGGGTTTCCTAACTTTAACTAAACAAAAAATATTTAATTTTACAAAAGTATACTTATTATTTTTATTTTTTAAATTTTTTTTTAATAAGTACGATAATATAACATCATCAGACTTAAACTAAATGCAGTCAAACGGCGAAGTCCAGATAACAGTTTCCAAAGATACTGGAAAACCAACGTATCACATAGGTATCTGTTGGTAGTGGAGTTAAGTACCCGACGGTGTCGGTAGAGATACCGAAAAGCTGCATCCTTCCTTATACAAGCAGTGACTCACGTCACTGCTTGTATAGTGAAACGAAGATTAGAGTCAAACACAACTCCCAAATTTCTTGCCTTCTGAGACACGACCAGCCGCTCACCATTCAATGAAACATTGACATTATCAGCTGGTAAATTGCCAAAGGTAATTATTGTTAATTTGGTTGCGTTGAGTGTTAGTGCCAATTTGGTGGAGTACTCCGAGAGTGCAAGAAGATCTTCGTTTAGTTTTGTACATGACAAGGCAGTGTGCTTTCTTCGAAAAGTCAAATACAGCTGAATATCATCAGCGTACATGTGTACTGACGAGTGTTTAACACAATTGGGCAGTTGAGAGGTGTATAGAGTAAATAGTAGCGGAGCGAACGAAGATCCTTGAGGCACACCAGCCTTCACGAATAAGGAAGCCGAAAATTCCTCTCCCAATCTCACCACCTGGACTCGACCAGAAAGGAAGCTGTTTATAAGAGACACTGCCGACTCAGATATACCAACATAATGCAAGAGGGATAATAACATTCGGTGGTTAACTTTGTCAAAAGCCTTGCTGTAATCCAGGAGCACAACCACTCTACTCTGACCATCATCGCGAGCCATGAAGAGATCATCAGTGACGTTTCTATATCCGAATGTATCTATATGTAATGTTAGTTCTAGTGACAGTGATAGATAGCGTTAGTTAGAATAAGATATTACTATGTTGTATATTTATATTGAACTAGCACTATCACTAGAATTAACACAAGACCTAGAACTACAATCATTCAGGTTTAGCTGTCTTGAGAGACATGTGGCTAAATCTGCATGTTTCTAGTTCTCGGTCTTGTGCTAGTTCTAGTTCTACACTAGCACTATCACTAGGACTAACACAAGACCTATCACTAGAACTAACACAAGACCTAGAACTAGAATCATTCGGATTTAGCCGGCTTGAGAGACGTGCGGCTAAATCCGAATGTTTTTAGTTCTAGGTCTAGTGTTAGTTCTAGTTTTACACTAGCAATATCACTAGAACTAACACAAAACCTAGAACTAGAATCATTCGGATTTAGCCGTCTTGAGAGACGTGCGGCTAAATCCGAATGTTTTTAGTTTTCGGTCTAGTGTTAGTTTTAGTTTTGCGCTAGCACTATCTCTAGAACTAACACAAGACCTAGAACTAGAATCATTCGGGTTTAGCCTTCTTTCTCTCCGTGCGGCTAAACCCGAATGTTTCTAGTTCTAGGTCTAGTGTTAGTTCTAGTTTTACTCTAGCAGTATCACTAGAACTAATACAAGACCTCAAAGTAGAATCATTCGGGTTTAGCCGTCTTGAGAGACGTGCGGCTAAATCCGAATGTTTCTAGTTCTCGGTCTAGTGTTAGTTCTAGTGGCACTGGTAGGTAGAGCTAGTTAGCATAAGATATTACTATGTTGTATATTTATATTAAACTAAAACTAGAACTATCACTAGAACTAACACAAGACCTAGAACTAGAATCATTCGGGTTTAGCCGTCTTGAGAGACGTGCCGCTAAATCCGAATGTTTCTAATTCTAGGTCTTACGAATTAGGAAACGCCATTAGCCCTAATTTTAGAGAAAACGAAGATAAATTACATCCCATAACTTATCTTAACAATTTGGTTCAACCAACACAGGAATTGGATGATGAAAGAACGATTTTAACCTCGATTAGATTGACTTTAGAAGAATGAACTTTGGAGTGGTATGAATTAATGATATGGTGCATAACTTTAGAAGATTTTAAGAAAGAATTGCGTATTTCTTTCTTCTTTATACTTATTTATGTTGCAAAAAATGTGGTCATTTTATCCACGTTCTGTATTGTTTACATTCTTTGAGTGGGATTACCCTTCAAATTAAATTGGTCAGAAAGAATTTTCAGTACGAAATGCCAAAGTTTCCCAAAAAAAATCAGAAATGCTATATAGACAGGTTAGAGAATGCGACGCAGTTTAGACTAAATTGTTCAAAAATTCTAATCAACCCGAAATTTGTAAAAATTCAAGGAAAACTGGTTTCTAAATAATGATAGGAAATGGCAAAAGTATCTTTTTTCGTTATTTGCTATTTTGGAGAAGATGAGGATGCGATGCGATTAAAGTAATCAAAAATTCTGCTCAACCCAAAATTTGGAAAATTTCAATGAAAAATGGTTATCCAAGGAAATAAAATAATAAAATTACACACCGATAGTGGACAGTGGTCCTTCACCCCCTGGTTTTCGGATGGCAGGGTCTGAGTCTTGCCTCAGTCTGGAGAACGTTTTCTGCCCGAATGCATTTTCCTCCATGCAAGTTCGGGGATGTGGGAGTATGGTTTGGGAGTGTTTGCGCTGGTATGGATGGAATAGAGGAAAGCCCAACGTTGCCGCATGTTACTTTTAGATCGACAATTTATTCTAACTGTCATGGTGCAAGATGCAGAATGCATAAAGCTGTAGAACGAATTAGACCAAAGATTTCCACAAAGACTTGTGGAAAGCATGCTAAGAAGGATTGAGGTTGTAATTGCCGCACGTGGAGGCTATACCAAGTCCTGCTTATATGTCCATATTGGTCGGAACTGCTTGCAACTTAACGTAAGCAATCTATCTTCTCGCGTCGGAAAAATTGTACTTGTGCAATGGTCAGAATCGCGGTTTCAAGTTCTGATGTTAAGACAAAAAGGTGAGATTATTGAAATTTTGCCTGATGATGATAAAGTCAGGACAGCTATGTCACTTCGAGAAGAGAAACATGAAAAAGCTGTAATGTCGTTTCCTAAACTTTTGCACTATCACTAGAACTAACACAAGACCTAGAACTAGAATCATTCGGGTTTAGCCGTCTAGAGAGACGTGCGGCTAAATCCGAATGTTTCTAGTTCTAGGTCTAGTATTACTTCTAGTTTTACACTAGCACTATCACTAGAACTAACACAACACCTAGAACTACAATCATTCGGAGTTAGCCATACTGAGAGACGTGCAGCTAAACTCAAATATTTCTAGACGGCCGGCAACATCTCGAATTTTCCTAGTGAAATTTTTGCTTAAAACTGACCAATAGCAACCCTTCTTTTTGGCGTTTCAATTTGAAAACACTCTTCCAAATTAAAAAATAGAATATAGTAATAATGAAATGAATGGATGATGATGTTGATTGGTTTTTGGAGTTAAAAAAAAAAGTGGAATGAAATAGGAACGATTTTAATTTTAATTTCGTGACGTTTTTAGTTGTGCCCCTAAAAACAAACAGGGAGTAAATCAGGCGATAACTGCATATCGAAAAAAATCCAATATCCTTCGGGCGTCGGTAAATCATGGCGCCCCACAATAAAAAAAAATAATTCGGGACCCCGCCACACGGCCTAAATCAGCGTCCGGCGGCCCGGGGTCCCGACCTGTCGACGAGCAAAACGAATGGCTATTAGCCGATAATTTTTTGTTTATATTTACTTTCGAGTTATGGCCAGCTTACCGACGACACCCACATATCACCGTGTGCCGCGGCGCGCTCTCTGCTGGCTGCCCCACGCACGATGGACTATAAAAACCCTTTCAGAACAGACATAAGATGAACAGGGCAGGACTTAACTGACTATATTTAATATATCCATTTTAATAAAATTAAAATAAGCACTCTAATCATGGCAAAAATTTTAGTTAGAAAACATACATTTTTTCAAGTATATGAAAAAGTACAGAAAATTTAGACATCGAGTGGTAGCCACCAAGTTTCTTAGAGCAAATTTAAAATCTTTGCTTTTTGTATATAAACATAGTTACTTGATATCAGAGTAATTAGAGATTGTTGCAGGTTTATGCCAAGAGTGCATCCTCCAGTTATGATGTTCGTTGTGTCAAATTCTTCAGAAAGATTCGAAGCAGCGACCAATGTGCGAAGAGGGCATCCTAAGGTATTATTTCGGTTTATGGATGCTAGCGGGACTAAGGATGGATTGTCAATTTTGGAACCAGAATCTCTTCAATAAGCTAAAGAAGATGTTAGAGACTGTCAAGGGGAGATAGTCTATAAGACCATCTATAAGGCATTTGGAAACCTTGGAAATCTCCCAGTGATTTTGGTTCTGGGCTTCATGTTAAACATTCCTATAGTTATTTTGGAGAACTAACTTGAAAGTGTTGGCATCCCCCAAACACTTGGCAACTGAGATCGGTGTTAGCCTAATGTAGATAAAGCAAATATGCTGGTTATAAACTCTATTTATGCTCGTGCTATGATATCGTGCACAACTTTAGAAGATTTTAAGAAAGAATTGCATATTTCTTTCTTTTTTATGCTAATTTATGTTGCAAAATTATATCCGCATTCTGTAGAGATGTATTGTTTGCAGTCTTT